ATTACTCAATTAACTTGATAGTGAGATGATTGACAGCAAACTAATTATAACTTTTCCAAAATTGATCCAGTTGTAAAGTCTACTGGAACAAAATAAAGGGTTGCCTCTGCTCTTTCTACCAATACTTTTAATAAATATAAGGCTGGTACGTTACCTACAGCAGATTTAATAAGGAGTATAGCGCTATCAACCTTTCTGCTACAAATCCAAGGAAATATGATAATAATCTAAAGAATATACATGGGAGAGAAAAGGGAAAATCAGCCACCTCAATCTGAACAGGTGTCTTCAGTCGCCGGGTACTGTAGGGTGATATTTTCAATGTAGGACTTCATCGCGGCTAAACGTAATGTTACATTTTACTACTCCGGTTTTACTAGACCGACTTGAAATCTACCTGGTCGTGCTTTTGCTTTTGATCCAAAACCCAGTGGATGTAACCTTCATGTGGAATAATGTCAACGTTTTTTTTATTTTTAATGAATATCGCAACAAAGCGAGGTCTCACCTAGTGGACAAATCAAATATTACTCACACAGACGGCCATTTTTGCCCCCATTACTTAATGGAAATGTCCGACTGTTTTTCCTTATGACTAGGTTAGAAACCATTGGTCATATCCAGCTTGCCCACGACTCATTTGAAAAGAAAGCGAGGAACTAGACTAAGCTAGTGGCCATCGTGTCTAACCCGGAAAACCACCGTTCAGTGCTGACACAAATATAATAAAATGATTTTAATAAAGGTCCATGTACAAAATATACTTTACGTGAATGTTACTTTTCACATAAATGGCTGTTACCTTGAAGTTAAGCGCTTCATAATTTCTACAAGTGGGGAACCATGCCGTCTGCACCACTCATTCAGCACTTATCGTTGTTGTGCATGAGATATCTGAAAACGTACTGGAATGTTCCGATTCACGCGACCTTGAAACACGGGCGATAACTCTCTGTCCAGTCAACAAACTCAGCCTAGTTCCCTGGGTCTGTTGCTAGCGCAGGCGCAACAGACCCAGGGAACCAGCTTGCAACAGCCTTCACCCATTTGTCAAAATTGTCGAGAAAAAAAACTGTTGAAAAAAGCAGCTTTGAGGAAAGTCTTTCAGAAGAGAGATGGAATACTTCGTGCAAAGAAGCAGCCGTCATTATCACAACTCAATACAAAGATTTCGATCCCTGTTATCGTGCAACTATAAAGCTGAATACCTTTTGGGACAGCGTTGTGTTTTGTCAGTAGAGTATTGCTAGGTCAGCAGAGTATTGCTAGGTTAGTAGAGTATGGGTGATCATACTTTCCAACTGAAGAATTTATGTATATATATATATATATGAATTATTGAAAAATATGTCACTGTTCTTTGCACAATATACAAAATTTTGAGTGAGTGAGTTTAGGTTTACGCCGCTTTTTGCAACATTCCAGCAATATCATGGCGCGGGACACCAGAACGGACTTGACTCATTGTACTCCACTGCCCGTATTCAAAATAGAAAACAGCCGTTAAATAGTACAGTACATATATGTATATTCTACAATAATATCTTAATACATCAGTGGTTATCTCAAACTTGAGCTGGCCTTCTACCATTTACAACGTGACACTGCAAACCATTTTTGGAGATTGTTGAACACAATCAAACATTACATTCAAAACAGACATGTCATTCCTTTAACCCTGAATCAAACAGCATATATTTTAAATAATGGGCCTGAATATCTCAAGTGCAGTCCTGTGCCCCCGTGAGTGTTCTCTCTCGGTGATAAAGAGGTTGGTTTGGACGATAAAAGGTTGGAAGCTACAGCATCCCCGGTTCAAGATCCTATTGTTCATTTTTAGGGATACCATAAGCAGTATTTTACTGTTTTAAATAAATGTCTTAATCCCATATACTTATATATACGCGCATGAGCAAAAGAATATCTAAATCCTGCTCACATGAAGTAAACTTTATAATATGATAAAAATCACGGATTTTCAGTCATTTGAGACAATGTGGCTGAGCAGACTGAGACTTCCCACACTTTGTAAGTGTGGGATTAGTCAGTGGATTATGTCAGGAAAGTGGTGAAGAGAATGTTCTCATCACTGGTGGAACGAAGTTAAAATGATATTGGATGATAACTTCAGAATGGAATTTTTGCGCGTGAAACATTTATGTCTTCTTTGCAAAGATCTACAACTGTGTTTTCCTGTAGAGGTGGTTTAGGTGAGTGAGTGAGTTTAGTTTTACGCCGCACTCAGCAATATTCCAGCTATATGGCGGCGGTCTGTAAATAATCGTGTCTGGACCAGACAATCCAGTGATCAACAGCATGAGCATCGATCTGCGTAATTGGGAACCGATGACATGTGTCAACCAAGTCAGCGAGCCTGACCACCCGATCCCGTTAGTCGCCTCTTATGACAAGCATAGTCGCCTTTTGTGGCAAGCATGGGTTGCTGAAGACCTATTCTACCCCGGATCTTCACGGGTCTGGTGAGGGATCCACTTGAGTTTGATCATAAACTGATCATAATCTATTATTTTGCCTCATGTACGGAGTATTGAACATTTGGCAATGCATTCGGTGATGGAGTCTTAACAATTGGCAAATGCGTACATGATTGATGTCTGCAATTCAATCTCGGAACAATTGTTTGCAAAATATGCGAAATTTCGAAAGATGATGAGTTGAAATATGTCATTGACGGCTTCCTTGAAACAGAGATTCCCCAACCGTTCAGATGATTTGATAGCATATATCCATAACTACCCTGAACAGTAAGAGGTGGTTCTCTATTGCTTGCACACGATTGACCTTTGAGAATACATTTGGTTGCGTGACCGGACGATAGCAGTGACCAAATAAACTGTCTGGATTCCGATGTATCACCATCACTGCCTGTGTCATTCTGCACAACATGCAACATTCACCAAGAAAGCTGCATGGCGGGTGCAACTGATGAAAAAGATGATGATGACGTGTAATCTGTTTAGTGTAAGAAGGAGCTGAGACACGATCTATCAACACACTTTTCAACTGTTTGATGTTGTAATGTGGGATAACCTAACAGTAATGCAGATCTCATAAACTGTCATATTCTGGTGATCAGTTATTTACCTAGAGCTTACCTACAATCTTACTAACCTTGTGCATTTTGAATAGCTTTAGTGATTTCTAGTATCACGGATATAATAGGCTTACATAGGCAAATCTTAAAACCTGTTCACATGACCACAATATTCCAGGAGCATTTATACGTAAAAGTAAAGATACAGTTACTAGACCTCTTCAGTTGTAGCAAACATACTTTCACTTATGTCCATTTTCTCCAGAAATACAAATGTATATTTATTCACGTAAGCAAATGAGGTCACATGCCACCGTAAGTAAATTTACCTATGTCAGTATACAATACCTAGCCTAAAGATCTCGAGATGTTAGCCCGGGAGCGCCACGTGTTGCTATTTAGGAGGAAACTGGATCAGACGCGGTTCATTGAGACAGGTACCCGGTACATAGAACCACAGCCAAGGAGTACATCTACTCGTTACCCCACCGTCGTGTTTGTTTAATTAGAGCGTGCAAAGGCAGGAGTGCGCACCCCACCCCCACCCCTTTTGGCCTGAAAGTTTATTAGATGACCCATGAAAACGGGTGAAAATTAAGTGTGTGCCCCCCTTCGCAACAGTTGTATTCTTTTCAGGACTAAACTTTATCAGGATTATTGCACATAGGCACGATGCTGCTGTCAGTGTTTCTAACCATAAGAAATTAAAACGTAGATTCATACAACTGTTTGACTTGATATCGTTATATTTATTAATGCACTGATTCACCTGTGTTCAATATGACGTACAGATTTATAAACAGATAGTGAAATTCATTCCCTATGCCACACACCAGACTAAGTGGTTATTCTATTTCAGTTAATGTCATTTTCCTCCAACTTCCTGTTTCAACTGGTAGATTGTGGTTCTGACCTTAAGTAAACACCTGTATAAAATGTATATTTTTGCATCATTTGAACATTATTTTTTCTCAATCCTCTCCATGGATCATTTAGAAGATTTGACTCAGCCAGCTATCGAGCATTGCACCTGGATGCTGGATATAACTTAGTTTGCCATTGATTTTATATTGAATTTGAAAATACTGTGACATGGTCCCGGTTTCGGTCTTCTTAACGCTTGGTCTGTGAACACACGTCCGCATCATGCATAGGCTGACTGACGTTTCTAACCCTGTCGTTACTGGGTCATATCCGTTGGCGAAGCAAATTGACTCACAATCTGCACGAAAACTAAGGTATATCAAAGGATTGTATCTTATGTAACGATAAACATACCCATTAGGGACCGTTCATAATTTATTACTGGGGTGGGGTGGGGGTGGGTTTTGTTGATGATGATGATTTTTATGGAGAAGCATGTACAATGTGAATGACCCCCTAAAATTCATGTACAAAGTAAGTGACGCCCCTGCATGTCATGTACAAAATCAATGACACCCCACTTCCAATATTTTTAAGCATAACTTTTAAATATGAATATATACAAAATTGCTGACCCCCAGTCATGAGTACAAAATTGATGCCCCCTATATCCCCACAACAAAATAAGTGGCCCCTGCATGTCATGTACAAAATCAATGACACCCCCTTCCAATAATTTTAAGCATACTTTTAAATAGGTTTATGTACACAATTGCTGACCCCCCAAGTGAAAGTGTACAAAATTGATGACCCCCTACATCCCCAGAACAAAATGGGTGACCCCCTGCATGTCATGTACAAAATCAATGACCCCCAAGTGCATGTGGACAAAATTGATGTCCCCCTACATCCCCAGAACAAAATGGGTTGCCCCCTTTAAAATCATCATCACACACCTCCACACCCCAAGCCCCCCAAGCCATAAATTATGAACGGTCCCTTACTAAGTTTAGAATCGACTTAAATATGATCGATCCCGGTTAATTGCCGTGTTTTTGACAGAGTTACTTCCCTTTGGTGAATCTTCTATGTTTAGAGGTGAGCATGTTTAATACCGGAAACGACTAAAAGTTTAGCTGAAACAAGTAGTTTTTCTTAATTTTGCGAAAGACTGGTAATTGTTGGTTTGTATAACATGCCCCTCGGTACAAAACCAACGTGTGGCTCTTGTAAAATATCAAATTCGACGCTATGGAGAAAAGGAGTTCAAGGTGATGTGATGTGCAATACCTGCTTTATAAAACAGTCTGGAAATGGCGGCGGGAAAGAGGCAGGATCAAACGGGAATGGGACTTCTTTGGGTAAAAACAATGGTGGATCGAGTTTAATCGGCGGACCCGTATTGAGGAAGAGCTCGAGGATCAGACCATCAAAGAGTAAATTCCAGGCGGCGACCAAGGCTCTTGCAACGAAAGGGAAAAGCAGGCGAATAATCTTCAAGAAAAGTGTAAGGTTACTAATACCCAAAGACCAAATCCGAATTACAAATATTGCAAAGAACAAATCCAAATTAGGCCGATTATAATTAATATTTTAATTGTATGAAAAACAAAAAATCTCTTCGGCATGATTGGTGAATATTTGGTGTGATTCATTTACTCACATCATTTCTTCCTATGTCAACCCTATAAGCAACACAATATGTGATACGGTTGATATTGTGTTTGTAATATCCTTTTCGGTTCTTTTCAGTTTATATCTGTGAATTATGTATGTGAGTTGCTGTAAGTACAACAGCCCTGATATTTTCCAGTATGAGCTACAAGCGTATTGAGCAGTGCTCCTGAAACTATGATAGACATGAAAACATTTTTTCTATGCAACCTGCCATTCCTGACCATGATATTTGTCTATCTTATCCTTCCAGCAACCCATTAAGGCCCCAACAGCTGTTGCAACTGTAGTGACAGGTGACAGTGTATACCACAATGTAAGTATGAGGAACATCATGATCACAATGTGCTTTTCAGTGCTTAGGCATGTTTGATAATATTTACATGTGCATTAAAAAATGGTTAAGAGACCAGTTTGTCCAGGAGACTAATCTACATCTTTGGATATGTGTCACTGTCATTGTATATAATGATGATACAGTGATTTCATACCCTGTCTAATGTTTACTCATTATTGACTGTCAAGCTCTCCTGAACTGTGTTGTCCTCACTGGGCTGTTTGACAGGATTGACTCCAATGCTGTTAGTGTTATGTATGTTGTCTCACAAATGTTTGTGTTTTATCTTGCAGGGCATGTACTTTCAAGTTGGTGACATTGTGTCCTTGGTTGATCATGACAGCTCTGTGTACTATGCCCAGATTCGCGGCTTCATGCAAGACCAGTACAATGAGAAGAGTGCTGTCATTACATGGATGATTCCCACGTTATCAAGCCCCAGAGATAGGTTTGATCCATGCACCTACACACTTGGTGAGTCGTGTAGCATGACTCCTGGAAAATACTAAATACTAGAGAATCTGCATAAGCTGAAGAGTTTCTGTTGTCGTCAATAAATCTGTAATGTAATTTATTATGTGTTTTGCTAAACATGAGTTATAAATCAGTGGAGTGTGTTGTGAGCCAAGTATTGCGATACAGTACAAGACCATAATGATAATGATCATAAAGTTATTAGAAATGAATGTTCTTGAAGACCATCCCTCGTTCTGAAAATTTCAGGTCCAGAAGAGGATTTGCCACGGAAACTTGAATTCATGGAATTTGTTTGCCATGCACCATCAGACTACTATAAGGCAAAGAATGCCCCCTACCATTCCCTCAATTCCCAGCCAGACCTGTGTTACATATGGACAAACATTGGTCCTCAAGTGCAACCAACACCATCCATCGACGAGGTGTTCGGTTTAAAAAAGACACAAAATAGTGCTACAAGCAAAGTGGACAGTAAGGACAGGGAACGACTGGATAAGCATGACAAGCAGAAGGACAAGGAGACGGACAAGCATGAAAAACCGATCAAAGTAGAAAAGGATGTCTAGGTGAATAAATGTGAAGATTTCTATGATTTCATTTATTGTCTTTATCCATGTTATCAAGAGTTGTTTATCTGAATTGGAAACATGTTTGAAATTGTTGACATGCTATGAAAGTATTCCACATGAGCAGTGGTAGAGAACTACATTTTCACCTGACACTAAATAACTGTAAATTATGGTTAAATCATCACATTTTGATGTTGAGTGTGTGCCTGTGTATGCCACTCTCAAGGTCATACTCCAGAACAGATGTCTAAGAAATGTTGAGCTATTGGTTGATAGAACTTGGAACTTTCAAGGGTTATTAATATTATGTGTGATTATGATTTGTTTGTTGTTTACACTAACAGTAACTATGGTACAGTGTCCTGACATAATCTGCAATTGGCTACCCTTTGGCTGATAGATAAATTAGTGTCTCATATCACATCACATCAGCTTATTTTCCAGAGCCTAACATCCTGTCTCGTATCATCTCATCAAACAAGCCTAGTTTCTAGAGCATTACATCTTATCTCATGTCATCTCACCAAATCAGCGTAGTTTTCAGAGTATAACATTCTACATTGTGTATCTCATGTCATCATTTTTCATCAAACTGGCTCAGTTTCCTGAGCCTAACATCTTGTCTCATAACCTCAAATCAGCATAGTTTCCAGATGATAACCTGTTCTTTTGCATCTCATAAAATCAGCCTGGTTTCCAGAACATCAAACGCTGTTTCATGTCACAAAGTTGGCCTAAATATTTATAAAGGTTAAGTGAAAAGGAATGCATTGAACAGGAACCGGACTTGTATGAAAAACAATTGAACTTGCTCATGTTGATATGTATGTTCAGCGATTGCATTCAAACTTTTTAGGTACCTGGGAATATTGTGAGATTTTAAGGCCACTTCTAGCAATATCTAGTCTGAGTTGTGTCAGTTGACTAGGGGGAATGCTCAACATGACACAGACCATTGGTGTTAAGGTGAAATGATTATAGTTTCCGCAAATCAGGGTCAGTGTTAGACTATAGGATTCACACCAACCACCGGCTATACGCTAATAAAACAGTGACACGTTTGTAGTTATCATGTACATGACACTAAACATACATCGCCAGAGAAAGAAATTCCTGTCTATTATCTGCTGAACATTCTATTGGCACCAAAAGGCTAAATAAAGTTGAAACCTTTTTATATTTCCTGTAGTAGTTAGGACCAACGACTGATGATCTGATACACATTGAAACCTGTAAGTGATGACAGACGTTCAATCAGCTGCACTTAAACCACCAGCACCACCACACACCTCACCTCACCCCACCACCCCGACCGGAACATGTCTCCTGACATGAAATTATATGATAACAACGAAGGAAAGTTATGCACGAGTTTGTCATAGCGCAATGTCATAGCAAGGAACCTCCCGCCTGTCGAAGATCAATACTGTTTCTCTTCACATTGGTGACACACCCATTCCCCTCTCATCAACAGTCAAAGATCTTGGTGTCTACTTTGAATGTGATCTGTCGATGGAGAAGCAAGTCTCAGAGTTATGTAAATCTTGTTATACCACATCTGAGCCATTGGCAGTATCCGCCATCTTCTGACTGAGGATTCTACTGCAGCACTTGTTCAATCTCTGATACTTTCCCGTATTGACTACTGTAACAGTCTTCTGTTCCATATCTCACAGGAACTCATTATTTGACTCCAGAGAATTCAGAATACTGCAGCAAGCATTGTTACCAAAACCCCTAAATTTGCAAGTATTACTCCTGTCCTGAAATGGATACATTGGTTACCAATCCGAGCGAGAGTTGACTTCAAGATACTGACTTTGACATATCAGTGTGTTCACAGAACAGCTCCAGTGTACCTCCAGGAACTCTTCAGGCGGTACATCCCCGGTAGACCACTTCGCTCCAGTCACAGAGACCTACTGCATGTTCCTCGTTGGCAGCTGAAATCATATGGTTTCCGTTCTTTCCAGGTGGCAGCGGCCAAGAAATGGAATGAATTGCCCGACCATCTGCGAACATCTCCAACTCTGACTCTATTTAGATCTCACCTCAAGACTCACCTTTTCTCAGTATCATATCACTGCAACGAGAACTCTCTGTATGCGTTATGAGCATGCCCCCGGCGTGGAAATTTGGCGCTTTAGAAATATACTTATTGTTATTATTAGTTCCTCATTTATTGCAATGATTTTCTGCCTATACCTATTCCCATCAACAGTAGGCATGTTTGTGACAAGCTGATGAACGACTATCTCCTAGTATTAGGAACGTCTGCGTATTGTACAATGTTTGAATGATAAGTTTCCAGTCTCCAATAGAAGTTTTGTTATGACAGTCAAACTAACAATTGGGCTGTAATATTTTTTCTGCTGAAACATACCCACTTCATGAGCTACTTTTTACGTACATAAATAAACCCATGGAACTTAATTAAGCACCCCCCTATTTTGTCATGATGCCATGAAACTGGGCAACCATTATCATTCGTATGTATACTGGAAAGCATAAACGCCATTGTTTCCTGATAGTTGACATTTTGGACTAAACAATAACAATAAAATCATGAAAATTTGCAATATTTTAATTTTCAAAATGACATGAAAATGTCAACGATGTTTTGTCAACAAAATGTATCCCTGTACAAATATGGGTCTGCAGAGTTCCAAAATGGGAGAGGTGAGTGTCTCCCAGTCTGAAAATGTTCTCTGTCATCTTCAGACAACAAATCACATGAAAAATGTTAATAGTGTGCATAGCCACCTTGTGCACAGATGACTGCTTTGACCCTCCTCCTCATGCTTGTCGTGTGTCTCCGGATTCACTCCAGAGGCAGCTGCTGCCACTCACAGCGTAAAGCTGCTTCCAAGTTTGCCAGATCTTGTACAAGTGGACCCAGTACTTGCACTCGGCGCCCAAGAATGCCCGAGACAGGCTCCAATGGTTTCACATCCGGGCTCATAGCAGGCCATGGAAGTTTGGTTACAGCGTTGTTGGAGAAAACTGTCACAAGTTGGTAACGATGTGGTCGGGCGTTGTCATCCATAAATACAGGGCGAGTGGCTAATGGGTGGTAAAATGTGGCACAAGAACAGGTTCCAGAATGTCCCGGATGTCATGGTCACCATTGAGATTTCCACGAACAGTTACCAAGTCCAGTTTACAATCATGAGAGAGACAACCCTAGACCATGACAGATTCACCACCGTAAGAAACTGATGCCAAATTCCAATGACGTTGGGCTAAACATCACTCCAAGTGAGCTCTCTTGTGAAGATTGGTCAAGACTGGACGCTTGATCACCCTTCTTGCCCTCATCTCATGTGCCTTTATGCGGTTCCTCACAGTCCTATTTCACAGACGTCTGTTGGGGAGCCATAGGTGCTTCAGGAAGCCATTTGTAGTGAAAGGCTGAAGGCTGACGTCTCACAAGGCTTGCTGAATCCTGATCCTTCAGGGTTGACCTGACCTTGGTCAGTCCTTTACCTTGTTGGTTTGACAGTGTTTTTGAACAAGTCGACTTATGATGGTGTGGTGAATATCAAGCTGTCGTCCAACAGCTCTGCATGACATCCGAGTGTCATGCATTCCAATAATTTGCCATCTTCTTGCTCGCTCTTCTCTTGCTAGTCTCCTTCCTGCCATTGTAACAGATACTGGTAAAATCATTAAACAGTTTTGGCGTTTTATACAGTTAGCCACATTGAGTTAATAGTGCTTTTTGAGACAATCATGGGTAGTGTGCTTCAACTGCATATTGGGATGTTTTGACGATTGATTAAGCAAAACCCTTAACAATATTGAAAGGGAATACAGTTCAAATAATAGTCATCGTTACAATTCAAGATTTATCATTAGGTAGGTCAGTAACTTAAACTATGTTAGGGGTGCTTAATTAAGTTCCATGTGTATAGATACATCAACACATAGATTCGATGTACAGTAAAGTTACTTTACGTCTTTGTGCATTTCATACTTCAATAATGTTAACTTGGACCCATTTTGTGCCATAACTACAAACTCCGATTCGAAATGCGCGACCTGTGGTTGGTGAGAGACTGTCAAAAGGCAAAATGTCAAAATATAGGAAAGAATAATAGAGAGCATATGGATATGAAGTAGTGTAACAGTGACATGGTGGAGTTGGAGAAGGCCCTTGTCAAAAGTTGTAGACTGTGCAGAAAATCAGGAAGTGAAAACGAAGTGTTGGCAATAACAGTCTGCAAGATAAGAGGAACACAAGTTGTGAATTCAACAGGTTGAAGTTCAAGTGTGGGACCCAACACTTAGGTGCAGACCTGGAGAAGTTAATATGGATGAATATTTCAGTCAACAGCAGGCAGGAAATAGTCGGATGGGAGTAGATGGAGAGTGTAGGTGGAGGAAGAGAAGGGAAGAGAAAGGAGAAGGCTGAGATGCTGAGCTGCAGTGGGAATGTGTCGGCCTGTGGGCCAATGGTTGTCAGATAACACCGAATGCCTAGGAGGGTGGCTATTTGGTTGATGTACATGTGAGTGAGTAAATAGCAATATTCCAGCAATACATTTAGCAATATTCCAGCAATATCATGGCGGGGGACACCAGAAATGGGCTTCACACATCGTGGCCATGTGGGGAATCGAACCTGGGCCTTCGGCGTGACGATCGAATGCTTTAACCACTAGGCTACCCCCACCACCCCTTGATTATTTTGAACATCATTTTTGTCAAATCCATTAAATTTTCATAGAAATTTTTAGAAAACACAGTCGCATCATCCACATAAATAAAACTTATTTCCAATTCATTTCTTTTAACACTTCTGATATTGTGCTTTGGAATGCCCTTTGGAGCATTTTTAAGGCCGAAATGGAGGCGATTCTACTCAAACACACCATCAGGAGTTCTGAATGCTGATTTGTTTTGTGTCAGAATGAAGGGGAATCTGCCAAAAGCCACTAGCACAATCCAGAACACTAAAGAACTTGGCTCGACTGTCACCAACAGAGCCTTTTTTGATTGTAAAATGGTGTGATCAAAG